TTATATCTGATCCTGTCTGATGACGTGATCCTGATACGACCTTCTTGCAAGTAATATCCTCCACAGCAGTCGCGAAATGTACATTATCTTTTCAAAACTTGAAAAGCAGTCTAATGGTGGAAGTGAAACAACTTTGTAAAAAACAATTTTATTCTATTATTTGTAGGAAGAATAAAACAAAATAACCAAAAAAAAATGCTGCTCAAAGGGGGGGTTGCAACCCCATCAACCCCTCCCCTGGATCCGCCTCTGAATAAGAGCATTCAACATCCAGCTATTCCCCAACCCTCTAGACATTCCATGTTAGCTTACATACACTAGATAGACAAATTCTATTATTCTTGCTGACCAAAAGAATCTGGGGCTCCATTCCCGGCTTTAACCGGGAAACAGTGTCGCAAAAAGTGCCTTCCCTTTGTCTCTTACTTTTGTCTAGATCTGGAAACGTTGCATAGCCAAGGAGAAGATTTTATTTCCTGGCAACATGGGTCAACTTTGTACCTCGCTATGTCTTTGCTTGGCAGTGCAGGAATCAAACGCTATGGGACAGTGAACTTGGAGCATAATGCGGCGGGATGCAGATAGCGCTGTGGAGGACGCTTGTACTCTTAGCAACGACAGCAATCATCTAAACTTGGATGTACAAGGACACTGAAGGGAAATGGTACGAATCAATAATGAACCCTGATCAGCTGTTTAAATCAAGCAGGAATAATGCACTGGACAGTAGGTTCTCGGCGTCAATACCCACCAAAGTGCATCACTTGTATTCCTCTTCTAAGGCGCCATTTGTCAACAACGGCGTCGATCTTTTAAGTCTAACAGATACAAACTTAGAGGTAAGCACTTGTCCGCAGGTGTCAAACAACTTTATTTTTAAACAGCCTTGAAACCTCTGATGTTTATGCTAGTTATTTAGTATAATTTCAAAACAGACCATCGTATTCTCGTGTATAGAAATCGATCCAATTAACTTAAGTTTATATTTGCCAGTCGCTCATTTATAATTTAAGCTTCTAAGCCTACCTTTTGCTTGATTGTTTTGAGATTGGACGTTAAATTTTAATCAGCGCTCGATAAGCCCGGGGATAAGCTTAGCTTAAATTTCCCTTTAATTAACTAAAACTGTAGAAACCGCCTGGATATTTTGGTTAAGTTACATGTACGTCTTTTTTTTTTCCAGTGTTTGCTAAGGGCAGCTGTTGATGATTTGTTTATCTAATGCTTGAGAAAGACGATATACGGTGATGGGAATCTTATGCAAATCAATAATTCATGTTTTTTTCGCTAACATAATTGATCGAATGCTACAATATCAAGGATCTGAGTGAAAGCCCTCTTGAACCTTTTTGAGACATGACATGTGCTAAAATTTTAATAAAAGTGCAAAGCGGTCGTCAAAGAAAGGTGAAATTAACACTGAATCCTTCGTCAAGAAATTTTAAAGTGACCTCTAGAATTGATCCAGCCTAACTTGTAGGTCATTGAGTAACCCAGAGTTTTCATTAAGGGTTGGGCACCAGGCAAATTAACTGGCTATGAGGATGATTTTGTCTGCTTAGACTTGACCATTTAAGGGAAAGTTTCTCTTAAAAAGAATTTCAATTCAAAAGTTTTGCCTGGCTGTGAAAAGTTAAACTAGTTGCCATCCTGCTGAAAATGTTAATGAAACTCCTGGTAGCCGCAGACCATGACAAGTGCCAGCAAAGTGTCATAATGGATAAATTTTAAAATGCTGCATTCTTTTTATATAGCAAGTGCGAAAGTCTCTAAGGGGTGGCTACATTTTAAGTTTGTTTCTTCTCAAAGAACAAAAAGCCTCATACACTGTACATGTAGCTGTCATAGTGGTGAGTGAATGAGTCATCTACTCTACATCACACCAGTTGCAAACACATACAAATTGATTCCATTTTTCACATAATTTATTATATTACATTTGTATATATGAACTTCCGCATTTCCCCGTAAGAGTAAATGATCTGAAATTGACCATGAAATCCAATTACTGCAGAGGTTTGTTGCTATAATTGTTCAGCGAAAATAGCAAAATAGTTTCAAAAACACAGTATACTTGGGAATGTTCTTTTTTTTCTGTTTCCAGCTCTTCGTCTATAAAGTGTGAAGGAAGAATACAATTATTTCTCAGCCTGGCCCAACTGGCCCTGGAAAGTGACAAGATTTTAGATCTGTAGTGATCTCAATCAGTTTGCTTTTTACTGGTTGCCTAGCACATGATCAATTTCTTCCCCGCTGATTCGAGTTTCAAGTTTCATTTTGCTATAGACGGCAAACAAAAATATATAATCTGTTCGTACTGAAAATAATACCATACTTGGTTTCATCATTCTCCTAAAGAAGAGAATTAAAAAAATCTTGGGAGTTTGATTTTGCTAGAAACCTATCAAAGCCTGTATTTATGGAATACTGAAGATAAATTTTTTTATATGATCAGAAGGACATTATGAAAACTGATTTATCAGTTGATCAATGGTGTCAAAATATGACTAAATTTTAGTTAACTAGACAATGATCTCCAGTAGGCAATTAAATGGTACTGATTTTGTGCTCCAAATTTTCTTGGTGGGGGGAGGGGGGGCATGCCCCTGCACCCCCTTAGCTTGGCATTTTTTCTGCCCGGTTGTCATGCCCTGATGCCCACCTGCTAAAAAACTTATTGAAACCCATTCTGCATACTGCATTCTGTATACTACTGCATGTAGGATTAGCCTGATATATCTCACCAGATACAGTTTAATTTTATAAACTGTTGAATTTGCAGGAAAACCTATCTGCTCTTACAGGCTGCTTTGCAAGTAGCAAATGAATAATTCTAAATCCAGCAGAATTCTACAAGTAAATAATCTGGAACTGACAGAAAATAGTTCTCTGAATACAAAAGCACTGCATTTTAAGTACCAGTGAAGAGTTAAAGTGTACGTGTATTCTTAATTAATCACATAAAAAAGTGAAGCCCAGGGTTCTCCCTTGTTTTCAGTACAGGTAAAAGAGCATTTTAAACCGGTAAAGCAATCAGGTGAATCGCAGCCTTGTTTATTAGGTCTGCTCTGTACATTACATGGAATTGAAATTTGCCCCATATTCTTGTCAACTTCAGCGCCGACCTTAAATTAAACCTTTACAGATACAAGTTTTACCCTCATTGCTACGTAGTTTGTGTGAGTATTAAGTCACAGAAAAATAGGCAAAAGCCACTTCCGGGATATCCTTGCAATGCTTACATGTACATGAAGTGTCACTACAAAATCAGCAGTCGTCTCTCAAAGCCAAACGAAATCGCTGCATATTGTTTTCATTCACATTCTGGAAGGATTTTATTGTCAAGGATTCTCTCAAAACGTTGTCTGAAAATAGATTTTAAACACTTTTGACCAGAATGTGGAGCATTTTGTGACAAAGATGAAGTTTTCGATCTGCACACGTTAATGTTGGTCAATTTAGCAACACCAGTTTTCTAAAGCCGATAGTTAGGTGGGAAGTTCATGGAACTGATTTCCCCACATTGCTTGCAAAACAAAGTACTTGTAACATCTAAAATTACTTTACATGTAACTGTTTCCATTTGTGACTTCTTGCCATTGCTGATGGAGAGAAATGATAACAATGTTCGTTGTCGCTTCATTGTGAAACTGAACATAAACAACTACCGATGCACATGCGAAGAAATGACATCTGCCATGATGGAATTGTGGCGGAAAGCCTGCCAAAAATTTGCAGTTCTTGCCTCGAATTTCGAAAGCCACAGATACACTGTAGTACTTACAAACCATAGCCTGCACAGTTTATCTATTAAATCTGATTATTTATTCTCTTACAAGGATAAACTACCGATTATGTCAATGAAACAACTATATTTTTTTCTTTTACCTGTCAAATTTTTAAGAATTCCAAGGGATTTTAGGCAGTAATGAGTGGTGCTACAGGTGGTAAATTTTACCGGTTATCGCCTGAAAAGGAGAAGACTGAAAGCCTTTTGAGCCCAACTAGCTCATAGTTCTCTGCACTTAATTCTGGTTTCTGTAATAAGTGGCTAGGGGTTTTGTTATTCCCACCTGGATGGGATGTTAGTCCATGGCAGGTTACTGTCCGACACTCTGTCAGGTTGTGAGTTTTGCCAATAACCGATGCCATAGATACAAAGCAGCACTGCATTTGAGTAAGTTGGTAATGCATAATTCATTACTGTTTACCCTGCCTTTTTTTGCAGGATGAATTTGGCCAATCCTATAGTAGCATAGGCCTAGAAGTGAGGACTCTGAGGAAGGCTCTCAATTTACCAGTAGATACCTTACCAAAGACTTGTGGTCTGACATCAAACCATTGGCCAAATGAGCATGCAAGCAGGACAAGCCAGATGTTCCTTACTGATAGTGGGTACTCATCAAAAACGAATCCTCAAAGTGATGAGGCAGTGCAAAGTGTTACAGCATCAAGAAATGGTAATGCTGCCAATTATTCAGCTGCCTTGGGATTAGAAAGTCCTTTTGATGTAAAATCTAGCCCTGTGAGTATGGAGTTAAACTCCAAGGAACATCACCAGAATTCTTCAAAGATGTATGAAAGGAGTCTAAAAAGTTCCCTTGATGAGAGTGAAACTAAACGAATGTTGCTGTTGGAAAAACTCAGAGAAGCTCACCTGGCAATACAGGTAAGCTGTTATCAATATGTTTTTTATCTATTCTAAATATTGTTCTTGTACTTTTGCAGTTTTCACATTTTATATAATTATGCCAAGCTGGTGTTTGCTTACAGGGGGTCCAAACTACAGATCAGAGGTCACTACAAGACTCTGTCAATAACAACTGTAATACAGTTGAACCTCTGGTTGTGACCACCTCTCGTAAGCAACCAAGTCAAATCACTATATTTGGAAACGCTTGTAAGTGACCACCTCTCATAAGTGACCACAACCACTTTTAGAGCTAAAATTTTGAAATTTTCTTTTGTTTTTACCCCCCTGTAAATGACCTTGACAGATAATATAGCAGAAATGGGATAATAAGGTATTGTCAAATTCAAGGCTAGCAATCCAATCTTTATTAGTTCATGTCAGTTCCCCCTAACGTTTAGACATTAAAGATTCAAATTGTAATCATCATGAGACTTGTTCCATTTGCGTTATTGATGCATGGGGTATGTCTCTGCAGTTACCATATGCTAGTGAGGCAAACTTTTCACCCAATATGGTCTAAGCCCTGGTAAGCAACCACCTCCTGTAAGTGACTTATGGGAGGTTCAACTGTGAGTGTTATAAAGGTTTAAGATGCCTGGTGCTTTTTAAGGGTACAGTGTTCATGTACTTTAAAAAAAAACTTAGAAGGGAAGAGGGAGGTTGTGAACATTAACATTCTAAGGAATAAAGCATTTTAAATATCTACAGGGAAAATTAAGGAACAAAATTATTAAGAAGAGAAGGTAATTTTAAAGAAAACTTTATTATTTTAGAGCAAACGTAAGGTTGGCCAGATAGCTTTGATTTCTTGTAGCAATTATAGAACACCAAGTAGTTTTACTACAGTTTTTACACCATCCACTTTCAGTGTTACGTGCATAGGTGACATCTTTCAATATGCCTTCTCTCGACATGCGATGTAACCTGCCTATGTTAAAAATGTAAGCACAACGGACTTCTTTGCAGTCAAACTCGACTTTTAGTGATGAAAGACAGATTTTTTTGACATCAAACTAATGCTAGGAGTATCAAGAGGTCATTCTGTGACAGATGAATGTTTACACCTTGCGAATATTGAAAGAGGTAACGGCCCATTTCTACCAGAAGTCGCTATTGAGAGCCACACGACTCTACACTCAAATCATTTGAATTATCAGGTGTAAATCGGGAAATATGCAAAGTCCACAATCTTCTTCAGCCATTTGAGGTCAGTAAGTATAATTTTTTGTCATTTCTGCTAATACATGTAAACAGGAAAATTACCAGTCTCATAGTTAAACAGTCTTTCAGCCATTTATATAGCATGTCAAAAGATGGCCAAAAGGTGTTGCCCATGCACATAACACTGAAAGCAGGTGTAAGTGACTTATGACCTGTAAACACTTAATGATGTGCTTACTATTTGTAACATTATTATTCAGAACCAAGCAGAAAAACTGGCAGCAACTGAGAGTGAGATCTGCTTCTTGCGGGGACAGCTGAAGAGCATGGGTATAGAACTGGAGGTAGAGCAAAAAGTAGATAGTGTTCAACAGACTGTTACCTTGTCTTAGGTTGTGATCACTAATGGGTATGGGTTGCTAATAGAAGGGATTGCAAGAAGAACTTTAACTGTATTTCAGCCTTCTGTGACATTGTGCAGTTCCAAAAAATATCCATATGGTCCACCCAAAGGGCGGAAGGAAAGTAATCCTAAGGGGGAGGGGGAAGGGGTTCAAAAGCCTAAATTTTAAAGGGCAAGATGAATCAAATCCTGCACTGTGATTGGCTACCCAAGCAGGCAAGATGGAGCTATCTTGCCCACTCAGGACTACCCGTCGTGTCCCGCAAGAAAAATTTCTCCTAAAGCCATATAATAAATCCCTTATTAACCAAGCTTGTTCAGTCAAGATGGCTTGATATTGGCCAAGTTCTTTTTTTGCGAGTTAATGGACTTTGACTCCCTCTCGGTCCATAAACAAGCAAAAAAAAGAACTTGACCAATATCCAGCCATCTTGGCCTCACACTTAGTCAATAACCCATATATATAAAGCTTAGCCAGAATTTCAAACTAAAAAGCTTTTTCATGGGAGAGGTATGGTTATTTTCTGGAACAACACATTGACAGAGGTTTAGCATCAATATTATTGTGTAGTTACTGTGAGTACTTACAGATGTTTACATCACTTGTCTAATGCATATAATTCTCTTGCCTGTTTTCAATCTAGGGACTGCAGCAAGAGCTCGATAGTTTGACAATGGAAAAGAAGCGCCTTGAAGTTTTTAAATCAGAAAATTTAAAGAATCGTGAAGCAATCCTAATAAGGTTTGTCCAAGAAACGAGATAAACAGACTTAAAGTATGAGCAGTAATGATGTTACTGATTGTTTCCTATCTTTATAACCTTCCCATCGAAACTATCTTCTCCAGATCAGATTTTTTTCCTTTCTTTAAACATGGTAAAAAGGCCACTAACCCCCCAATTTTTTTTTTCACTAATATAAATTTCCTTTTTCTGCTGATCACCACTGCGAAAAAAATATTGTTGTAGCTATTTTTGTTAATTTTGTATGAATTTTCAAAGTTTGTAAATTTGCCCTTTTCCATGTTCACAACCAAGGAATAGCAGAGAAGGGGACGAGTTGGCTTCTGACGTCATTTCAGGAATAACAGTATTTTGTTTCTGAGAAGAATATATGCGAACATGTGATAGTGTAGTGGGTCAAAATCGTTGCAGAATGCAAGGAAGAAATGTTGTTAGAGGCTGTAGCAATACAGGATGCGTAGAATAGAGTATTCCTCTTCATTTGACACCTCTTTCTCGATGAAATTTGACCAGAAACGAGAAAAAGACCAAAGAAGTGGGCTGATCTGTGCAAAGCTAAAGCCGAGGAGCCATCGAGGATTTCTTTGATTGCGGGTTTGCCACTACTGTAAACACCTAGAGATTTTCATGGTCTGTATATTCTTCACTATCTCTTGTAGAAGGCTTGAAATTTTTAAGGTACTGCATAAGACACAAATTTTGGATAAGCTGGAAGCCATCTGACTTTTTTGAGTGCAAACAATCCCCCGAGTCCCAGATGAAACTATAGGTGAGGAAATTACACGGTAAATTAAACGCATCTCGTTTTTTTGTACGTGAAATAGAGACTTTTGTAAACGAATAGTAAACAAAACCTACGTTCTACAATGGGGCGAATACGATTGTTGAGGCTTCGAACTGGTGAACTAGCTATGTATTTGTGGATTTTACATGTAATAAAAACACACGCACATAATGCCAGAGGTCGTAATCCAGCCATGTTTCTCAATGGCCATTCTGAATACAGAATTGTTTTGTTCTTTGAGCTTCCTCTTTGAGGAACAAAAGTGTCTAAATTACAAACTTAGAATGGATCAAGCATTTATAAATGTATGAGGAAAGTGAAACAAATGATAAAGATTCGACTCTATAGCTACCGACAGAGATTGCCGCGCTGAATGAAGAATGCGCTTGTCAGTGAACCAAAATACAAACTAATAAGTCGAGAACTCCCAGGTTATTAGCGAACGTAAAATGGACATTTCATTCCAAATAAAAGTTAAGTAGAAATGTATTCATTTAACTGATACTATACTGAACCTCTTCAAGATCTTGTCGAAGGATTTTCCATGAGTTACTAGTACGAAATATGTAAATTTGTGTAGCTTTTGTTCGTACACAGCAATTGACTATGCATAACACTACAGTCAGTCGACAATAATGAAGCGAAGAATTACCCCACCTTCGAATATTGTTTGTCGACATCTCTGCTTATCTCTTATGTTAAAATTATAAATTTTTTCAATCATTGATGTAGAGGAGTAGGCAGGAGTGGACTACGACTGAATCACATTTTAACTTGTATTTCGGGGGAAATTAATGTTTGATCTAAAAATTTTTGACACTCCGAAATCTGCATGTTGCGTAAAGTCAAATATCCAACTCTTCATGTTCATTGACATCTTTATAACTCCTTAAGAGCTGTAAGCTAACTCTTCAGTCATTATTTGTACCTAGTTTATAACCCTAATGGACCGGCAAATTGTTGAACCTGGCCTAAAAATAATTATACAAAGCAGTGATCTCGACTGGCGACCCACTCTTCGAAATGGAAAAAAATATATACATTGCAGCTGTCCAAATCGTAGATGATACAGTTCTTTCACTTAAAAATATTGTCCAGTTTTGATAAAATAGGAATCATAAATAACCCAAAACTGTTTTGACTGCCCTTGAAGCTCAGTCAAAAGTCTCTTGAGTGTTTTAGCCTGGTTCCCGAAGTGACGTCACTAGTAGCCCGACCCAGATCCCACTTTGCGCAGTTGTGAACATAGAAATTACATGTTTAAACACCTGTAGAAATGCAGGGTTTTTATCAATCAAGAAAATTTTTTCGCTGAAGTAATCAGGGAAACTAGTATATTTTATTAAAGGAAAAAAAATTTGGGGGTTAGTGGCACTTTAACAAACCTTCATGTATATGTTATGGTTCAAATGTTTTCTTGCTGGAAAAAAGTGAATACCAGAAATGGTTTTGGGTTTTTCTTGAACAAAGGGCAATGGTTGAAAAAAATAGCATTTTGTTCATTTGTTTGTTGTTTTGTTTTGTAACAGGGTGGATGATTTGGATAAGGAGTTAAAAGTTCTAACTGCAACACACAATGCCTTGAAACTTGAGGCATCAAAGAAGGGAGCTACATTAGAGGAAACAACGTTTTATCTGACTACTCTTAAACAGGACAATGACAAACTTCAGGAGGTACAAGTATTTATGTCAGGTCTGTCTGTCTCCAGTTGTGGTAGGTGCTGTTTTGAAATTGCCTGACTAGTTTGTATCTTTTGTTACAGGTTAACAATGGTCTTGAGAAAGAGTTATCTTCTCTAAGGGACATTGTATACCAACATAGCAAGTCCAATACGAAGACAGAGTTACTAAATAAGGTGAACTGATATCATTTTTAAACTGTAACCAGATTCCCAATTAGTCAATGAGAACCCTGTCAACTTTAATCTGATTTCCCTTCAAGTTGATATGAAGTCTGTAACCTGATATTGTGAGATGTATGGCTCAGTTTGAGTCACTTGTTAAAAAGACTTATTATAGCCTTATGGTACCTTTTTGGTAAGCTTTTGAATTGGAGTAATTTTAGGTCTGTTTGGTCTTGCCATGCATTAATGTATGCTAATTTTGGTTCAGCGGCTGCTCATCAAAGTACAAACCAGTCAATCAAGCTAATCTGATATGCTGCCTAAGTGTATGAAAAAGGTACAATTCGGTAGAATAAAAACTTGTTTTAGAAACAAAATATCATAGGATACATGAAGTTCAGTGTAATGTTTCTAAATGAGTTAATAATGATTTCCTCAGGACTATAAGAAAATTCTTCAAGAAAATGCAGTTATTAAACATCAGTTGTCAGAAGGTGTTAAAGCCACTGAAGAGTTAAAGAGGAAACAGGATGAAATGGGTCAAGAAATTATACAACTGAGAATGGTAAGTTAATTATTTCTGAACATAATCACTTCTCAAGGTAACTAGTTTTGGTAACATTCAAACCTTCCATGAGTGGACACCCTTGGGAGGCAGGATCTTGTTTAGGTGTTTAACCCTAAACCCTAAACTACTATGCCTTTAACTATTATTTTTTATTATGCATTGTTACACGCACTGCTTACAATACTTATAGAGCTACACTACTTACAAGACTAATAGATATACTTACATTATTTATAACACTTTGTATTCAATGTGATTAATTCCGTCACTTACAATACAAAGGCTTACACTACTTATATTACTTACAATGCAGTACATACATTACTTGAAATACAATACGATCACTTACGCTACTAAAAATACAAATGCTTACACTACTTACAGTACAATATGATAACTCAAGTTGCTTAACAATACTAATTAACATTACTTACACTACGATTACTAA